GGAATATTTTTCAAAGGTTGAGATGCACTGCCTGGAGAAGTTTAATAGTAAGCTCCTGATTTCACAGCGATTGTTACACGCTACAGTGGTCCGTACGTATTAGGGGATTATTTTAACCTTTATTGAAAAGAAATGGCTTCTGCCACTCCTCACAAAGGCCTAGTAGTTTGATCCAGCCAGCATCTATTCTGCCCTTCGCTGTGATTTGTAATGCTAAAGAAGCACATGAAGGGATTATGTACAATGTTAAGCAGTAGAGGTTTCAAAACAGCTGGATGAATAATACTGCACAGCTGGGTGTGCCCGTATACTGGGGTTGAGGGACACTGTTCTGCAGATCTAAATTGTCTCGATGGAGCTTGTCCAGCTGCACAGCAGGAGGCGCTGGCTGTCCAGCGCAGTGTCGGGCCCGAAGGTGAAAGTGTGCCCACTGTGGGCATGGCAAGACGATGGCAAGACCCTGGCTCGCCTGAGCTCGAAGATCCCCCCGTCTCCCGCCCACGCACGCAGACAGCCGGGCAGCCTGGGAGCACAGCTCGACTGGAAACGGGCAGCAGACGTGCCCGCTGCCGGAGGAGAGAGAGGGACTGTGGCGGAGGGACGCACAGAAGCTTGCAGGGGAGAGGGAGACCAGTGGGGGGAAATAGTCAAAAAAGGGGGAAAAATGGAGACAAAAAGGTACAGCGCAGCCTTCCTCTGAGACAGCTTGTTCTCTGACCCCCCCAGACCAGGAAGGACAAGAAATGACTGCACAGGGATGATGGTTGAAGGCCTGGCTCAAGAGACCCGTAGAGCGGAGGCATTTCATTCCCAGAGGGAAGGGGAGAGCTAACTCTGGGCTCAGGGTGAAATGACTCAGAACTGCAACGAAGGTCTTTTGCGTTAGTTGGCCAAAAACAAACAAGACCGAGGGCCCAACTCATAACAGCTGTCATATGAGTCCGCCTAATAAAAATTTCTGTATAAAAAAATATACAGAGAATATGAGAGGCATTCAGGTCAACGGACAGAAAGAGAGCACATCGCCACTGTGTTAAGTGTATTCACTCCCTGATCAGAGCAGCCCCGGCGTTCTCAGGCACACTGCTGGACAGCTCCACACAGACAAGAAGGGCAGACGAGTGAATTTCAGCGTTCCCCTAGTGTGTCCGGCAGTTCTGCAATGATGCACATCCAGAACTGCTCCAGTACAGTGCAGGTTCCATGGAAAGTCTAATTCAGACGTGCACAAACTAAAAGGAGGAAAAGTTAGCCGGTGCCATCAGATCTCCTAAACAGGAGAAGAAATCCGACTACTCCACAGCACAGTGAGCAACACATCCCAATGAAATACCCAACAACGATAGACAAGAACACTGCCAGTGAACACTGTGCTGCAAACACCTGAGATCCAGCAACGACATGATGAAAACGCTTCCCTGTAACAACACAAACCCCATGAGATCATATCTGCAGGTTTAGCAGGCTACATATTCAGGGACAGAGTGAAACGTACAGCCGGTGCGCTGCCGATTCATACATCACCAGCTTGTTAGTGGTGTTAATAAACTGCAAGGCTGGAAAAGCTGGTGCTCGTACAACTCAAGCCAGAAGCAAAAAGAATTGATATCACTTAGTGTCCACCACAGAAACGAAATCTTTCCCCCCACTTAAATATCACTACAGCGCTGTCCCTGGTGCTGAAGCCAAATGCCAATGTCTCGAATAACCTGACTGAAACAAGTCTTCGCCTGTTCTCTATACTGAGTGCTGGCGCAAGCTTGGGTTATTTGACGAGCCGTGGCCTGAAAGACACAGATAATGGGTGTTGCATCACTGCAGTATTAATCACTCCTACAGCTCTGCTCTGCTGCGAGACTCGGCTGCTTTATTAAAAGGTGGGAAAAAACAGCAGCGCTAGCCTGGTCTGCCCAGCTGCATCCCGATCTGGGATGTGAGGGAAACACGAAGGACCGGCAGGCCGTCAGGTGCATGCCCCGATGGGAAAGGTTTAAAACACCTGCATTTCCACGGCTGGGAAGGAGGGAGGATAAGGCGACTACGAAGGGGATGAAGGAAAGAACCGTGGAAGATCAATCCCAAGGCAATTGCTACAGCTTGAGGCCCCAGCCCAGAAGACACAAGTCACATTGGAATCTACAACTGGCTCTAACACTGTAACGCTGCTTGTCAGGCTAGTAGACCTCAGGATCGACAGTGAAGGCGTGTGGATATTACATGGAAGTGCATGACAACGGGAGGCACGTATTTACACAGAGTGTTATGGGAGTCTCGGACAAGCTACCCAGGCATGCTGGCAACGATGGGACCCTGGTTTCTTCCAGGAAGCAGCTGGTTGAGCTCCTCAGAGCTGGAGCATGCCAGCGACCACGTGAGTCAGATTGGGCTGCGTGGTCCCCTCCTGCCCAGAACGTTTCTTCTGTTTCTTAAAACAGAGTGAGAGCCCAACGGCGCAAGGCGAGGTGAGGCAGACCACGATTCCAGCCAGGGTACAGCAGACACGTGGCTGAGCAGGAGAGCGGTGCTGTGGAGCACAGATCTTCGGGACCCCTGAGGAATCTTTCGAGAAACACTACACTCGGAATTCAGTGTCCGCGCCAAAAGTGGTGGCATTATCAGGACTCCTCAGGATTGTCGTATATCCATATGCTAAAAGTCACATTTTTATAGATACATCAACTTCTTTTAAGATGGTGTAGAGAATGCCAAGTGCAGAAACAGGGACTCCACCTAAATTACTTATATTTGAAAATGAATTAACTTACTAGCTTCTATCTATTACTGTTCATTGATATTAAGGAGGAGTGGAAGACATATTTAATAGGTTAAAGTAATGAATATCTTTGCTTCAGCTACATGGAGTCAAAACCTACAACTGTAACTGTCCCGCCCTGAAAATACAAAGTCGCGGACTTCAATTATCGTTTCATGTGTTAGAAGCTTGAAATCTTGCACATCGCGTAAATCAGGAATTGTAACTCTGTGCCACCTGTGGGTTTTATCTTTTATTTTTCCCATTAGCGAAGCTTAACCCTCCATCTCAAACGAGTGGGAGCTTTTTAAATGATTCAGAAATCAGACCTTTAACCTTTCAACGTACAGATAAAACCAGGCACTTGTGAGACAGGCCCTGGACATCAGAAAACCAGGATAAATGGCAGCACGATGGACCCCTGAGGCTCCCACCTCACAGGGGAACACACAGCTCTTAGGAAGCATACTTATGGATTAATAAACAGCCCGGAGACACCACAGGGAGGTGTCTGCACTGCGTTGTAGATCAATGTTTCACATTAACGGCAGAACCAATGCCGATGGCATTTTAGCAATCTTCTCTGACAGTATCGCCTGAAAAGGCTGAAGCCACTGGAATCTCCGTGAACCAGTCCTAACCATTTCCCCAAGCCCTCAGTTTTACTCAAAGACTGCACGGGTATGTAAAGGAGCCAGCATTTTGAATAAAGACCAACCGATACAGGACAAAATCCAACCAGGGCCAATATTAGCCCATTATTATTAATGGCCAGAAATACACTGAGACATTAAAAAACATAAATGCCGCTGCTTCCAATACTATTAATTACATTGCGTTTCAAATGCCTCTTGACATAACACAAGCTCCGCATAACTGTGTGTTTGCAAGGCACAGCAGAAGGAGGCCGCCTGCGTGTTTAAATATCAGCCCGACAGCCGCTGCACCGAGAGAAGCTGCAGGCAGAGGGATCGTTCGGGAACCGGGAGACGGCCACCGACGAGGGCCGCACCCGAGGGGCCGTCCCGTTTCCATGTGACCAGAGGGCCAACGCGCCGCGCCCACGGCGTCACATCCGCCTTAACCCTCCGGGGCGGGCTCGAAGGAGTGAAGGGAAGCCTTTTTTTCAGCGCTTCCACATGGACCGTTCAGTTAGACACGTGGAAGTGTTCGGAATTGTGTTTGAGTGGGGAAAAAAACATCCGGTTGACTATTGTACAAATGTTACGTCCCCCACCTATTTTTTTAGAAATGTTTAAAATCCACTACAAGCACTGCCGTAAAGCTGCTGGACGCCACCGCTGTGCTGTACCAGCATGGTGGGTGATACCCAGCAAGCAGAAACAGCCCTTTTCCTGCAGGAAGTGACCTTTCTTTCATAGAGGTCACGGCCAGCTTGACCTCGGAGCACCACTCCACCTGCAGCGGCTCTCATTGAGATCCCGGAGCACTGCTCCACCTGCAGCGGCTCTCAGCGAAGCCCCGGAGCACTGCTCCACCTACAGCGGCTCTCAGCGAGGCCCAGCACACCGCTCCACCTGCAGCGGCTCTCAGCGAGGCCCCGGAGCACTGCTCCACCT